GTCTGTAATCCTAGCGCTCTGGAAGGCCAAGGCCAGTGGATTGCTTGAGCTCAGGAGTTTGAGACCATCCTGAGCAGGAGTAAGACCTCATCTCTAAAAATAGCTGGGTATTGTGCTTGGGAGACTGAGGCAAGAGGATCACTTGAGCCCAGGAATTTGAGGTTGCTTTGAGCTATGATGCCATGTCACTCTACCAAGGGCGACAAAATGAGACTGTCTCAAAAAGCAAAAAAAAAAACCAAAAACTAACTGATTATATCAAACTGATTGTGTCATTAGGATGTCATTCATCTTTATTGTCATTAGGATGAAGTGTATATTTCTTAATTTGCCATAGATACATATTTATATATATAATCCCAGTTTGCATCTCTTGTCAGGTGTCCTAAATTTAGTTTAACATTTGTTCTGGAATAAAGTATTTTAGTTTGGGGCTCAGTGGGTAGGGTGCTGGCCCCATATACCAAAGCTGGTGGGTTCAAATCTGGTGCCGGTCAAACTGCAACAAAAAAATAGCCAGTGTTGTGGCCAGCTCCTCTAGTCCCAGCTACTTGAGAGGCTGAGGCAAGAGAATCGCATAAGCCCAGGAGTTGAAGGTTGCTATGAGCTGTGACGCCACGGCATCCTACTAAGGGTGACAAAGTGAAACTTTTCTCCAAAAAAGGAGAAATAAAATATTCCAGTTTGAAAGACAGATCATATGGTCACCCTCAATAGTCTACAAACTCTTCATGTGGTCCCTCCCTTTTTACCTCCCTTTCTTCTACCCCTTCAGTCTTTAGGTACTAGGTTCAACTCTGTAGTTTCTCCTTATCTTCCATTAGGCTGGTACTTCTTCCTGGAGCACTATACTTTTCTTCAGTGCCCCCCGCCCCCCATCACATACATTAACTCATCCTTCTGATTTTTGCTTCAGGTTACTTATGAAACATTATATGTTAGGCTGTCCTGCCCTCCTACCTTAAAACATTTATGTTTTTCCCACCATAATTGACTCTCCCATGTGATAGGGTGATAGCAATGCGGACAGGCCAGTCACAGTGGCTCACACCTGTAATCCTAGCTCTCTGGAGGCCGAAGCAGGTGGATTGCTCGAGCTTAGCAGTTCTTGACTAGCCTGAGCATGAGACCCCCCATCTCTACTAAAAACAGAAAAAACTAGCGGGGCATTGTGATGGGTGTCAAGGGTCTCTACTACTTGGGAGGCTGAGGCAGGAAGATCTCTTGAGCCCAGGAGTTTGAGGTTGCTGTGAGCTAGGCTGACACCAGGCAGTCTAGCCTGAGCAACAGAGTGACAGTTTGTTAAAAAAAAAAAAAAAAGACTTAAACTGAGAGGTCAGATTACTCCCAAATTCTGAGAACTTGGAAAACTGGGCAGATAGGTAGTACACATACTATTAGAACTCGGAAAGAAAAGAGGAACAGCAGAGGGAAACATGGGAAATTCCTTTTTTTCTTTGCCAAAGCAACAGATATGAGCAGAGATTCCTTTTCAATAAAATCTTGTACTACATAATGGTTGGTCTTTTGGAACAAACTAACTTGGAAATCTAATTCATATTATTTTGTTAAATCTTATTCCAAAAGTCTGAGGGAAATGCTTCATTCATGAATAACTTCTTCTTTTTTTTTTTTTTTTTGAGGTAGAGTCACAAGCTGTTGCCCTGGGTAGAGTACTATAGCATTACAGCTCATAGCAACCTCAAACTCATGGGCTTAAGCAATTCTCTTGCTTTAGCCTCCCAAGTAGCTGGGATTATAGTCGCCCATCACAACAACTGGCTATTTTTCTTTGTTGTTGTTGCAGTTGTCATTGTTGTT